GAATCTCAGTGGCTTACAGCATAATTTTTTATTTCTACATATGCCATGTTTCTAATATAGGCAGGGTCCCAGACCAGTGAGCCTACCCATTCCAGCTGTACTGTCTAAAACCCACAGCCTCCTTGATGGCCAGATCCAGGAGCAGAAGGATTGGAGAATTGTGCAGTCTTTCCAGTGCCTCAGACAAGTGACACACATCAAGTCAACTAATGTTTCATTGGTCAGAACCAGTTCATGACCCTGCCTAACTTCAAAGGTCTGGAAGATAGCGTTCTCTATGTGCCCCAGAGGAGAGAAAACTGGATAATGTTTATGACAGTGGCTAAGACCCATTTCTTTTTTTTTTGTTTTGTTTTGTTTTGTGTGTGTATATACGTGTGTGTGTGTATGTGTGCTCACCAGAGAGAGATACAGAGAAAATGAGAAATCAAATACCAAGGGCAAATGGCCACACTGCAGTTCTCCTCCATTCTCTTCTCAAGGTTTGGGCATGCATGCACACATGCCGGGCATGATTTTCAAGCCACCAGGTCTGGGACTGGAACTATAGTCGGTCATGATAATCCAGCACCTTAACCACATCACATGCTGGCCCTGACCCGTTTCTTTTTCTTTATATAAGAAGTTGCTTCTGTAAATTAGGTGTGATTCCTTTTTAAAGCTATGAGAACATCTCCGATCTGTGGAGACAGAGTCGACTATGACATTTAAAATTTTCTTTACTAAGGGCCAGAGGTGGCTTAGTGGTTGGGGCGTTGGATTCCCACATGGCCAGCCACGGTTGAAGTCCCAAATTTGGTGGCTTACTTTCTCATTTTCCCTTTCTCTCTCTCTCTGTCTCTCACTGGTCAAATTAAAAAAATAAATAATAATAACAACTAAAATAAATTAATAATTCATTAAAAAAATTCCTCAGGGCCAGCAGGCAGCATAGTGGGGTTAAGGGCACTGGACTCCTACATGGCTGACCTTCAAGTGACCTGATAGTGTTCTCTCTCTCTCTCTCTCTCTCTCTCTCTCACACACACACACACACACACACTCTATCCCCCTCTGGTCAAATTTTAAAAAGTAAAAATTCCTCTACTGAGTTAGTCCAGTCATGCTGTAATTTCTCCCACTTTCAAAACAGAGAACCCAGGACCAGCGAATAGTATGATTGTGTTGCAGGATTCCCACATAGTTGACCACAGTTCGAGTCCTAGACCTGGCTGCTAGCACTCTGGGCATATATGTGTGCATGCCCAAAATCCCAAGGAGAACAGAGGAAAAGGAATTGTGGCATAGCCATCTCTCCCAGAGAGTGATTTCTCACTTTCTCTCTGTCTCTCTTTCTCCAGCAAGTGCATGTGCCCTATGGCAAAAATCTCTCTTTAAAAAAAAGTTTCTATTTTTTGGAACCACAGTGGTTAAGACTCTGGACTCCCACATGGCCGACTGTGGTTCAAGCCCCGGACCTGGCAGCTTGAAAATCATGCCAAGTGCATGTGCATGCATGCTCAAAATTCCAGGAGGATAATGGAGGAGAAGGGATTGCAGCATGGCCATCTTCCATGGGAGTTATTTCTCACTTTCCCTCTCTCTCTCTGGCAAGTGCACACCCTATGACAAAAACCATTACAAAAAAAAAAAAAGAAGATTGTATTCTTTATTCCTTTTCATCTCCTGTTCTCTAATCATTGGCACCCCTACTCAGGCTTAGGTCCTAGACCTTTTGTCTTCCTTACCTTTACTCATTCTGTAAGTGGTCAGATTTAATCTCAGGGCTTTTTTTTTTTTTTTTTTTTTTTTTTGAGAGGTTTTTCTATAGGGCATGTGGGCTTGCTAGAAAGACAGAGAGAAATAGACAAAAAGCAGGCAATCACTCCCCAGGGTGATGGCCATGCCACAGTCCCTTCTCCGTTCTCCTCTCGGGATCTTAGGCACGCATAGACGCGCACCCACCCAGCGTGAGTTTAAGCCACCAGGTCTAACTGCTGTCAACTGCATGGGAGTCCAGCATATGTTGCTATTACACCAACTGCTGGTTCCTAATCTCAGGGCTTTAAATACCATCTATACATCAGTAACTCCTGATTTTCTATTTCTAGATTAGATTTTCTCCTGAATTCCAGAACCAAATGTCTAATGAATACTTGATATTTCCACTTTGGGTATATATAATAGGCATCTCAAGTGCTTACCTACACATCAGATCCTCAAACAGAGCCTGAAATTTGTCCATCCTAACCTGCTCTTCTTACAGTCTTCTCCATGTTAAAAAATGAAAACCTGGAACCAGCAGATGGCGTAATGGTTAAATCACTAGACTCTCACCTAGTTTACCACGATTTAAGTCCCAAACCCGGTGGCTTAAAAATCACACCAGGGGGCCGACCCAGTGATGTGGTAATTAAGGTGCTGGACTTCCACATGGCCAACCCTGGTTCGAATCTCAGACCTGGAGGCTTGCTCTCTTTCTTTCTCTCTCTCTCCCCTTCTCTCATCAAATTAAAAAATAATAAATAAGTAATTCATGCCAGGCATGTGTACATGCATGTCCAAGATCCTGAGAGGAGACCAGAGGAGAAGGGATTTTGGCGTGGGCATCCCTTCTTGGAGGGTGATTTCTTGCTTTCTGTCTCTCTGGTGAGCACATGCACCCTATGGCAAAAATCTCTCTTGAAAAAAAAAAAAAAGGAGAACTTTGGGGCCAACTAGTGGCATGGTGGTCAAGGCAGCTGGATCCCACTTGGCCAACTGCATGGTTTTAGTCCTGAACCTGACAGCTTGGATAACACTCTGGCCACGTGTGCATGCATGCCCAAAATCCTGAAAGGAGAAATGGAGAACCGCTGTGGTGTGGCCCCCCCCTGGAGGTGCTTTCTCACTTTCTTTCTCTCTCTCTCTTTCTGGCAAGCGCATGTACCCTGTAGCTTTTTTTTTTTTAAGAGAGAGATTTTTGCTCTAGGGTACGGGCACTCGTCCAGAGTCAGAGAGACAGAAAGTGAGAAATTACTCCCTAGGCCACAATGCAACCCCTTCTCCATTCTCCTCTTAGGATTTTGGGCATGCATGCATACGCACTCAGCGTGAGTTTTACACTGCCAGGTCAAACCACGGTTGACTACATACAAGTCGAGCCGTGGTTGACTACATGGAAGTCCACTGGCATAACCATTAAGCCATCTGCTGGTCTCACCCTGTAGCAATTTTTTTTTTTAATTAAAGAAAAAAGAGGGACTGGCAGGTGGTATGGTGGTTAAAAGCGCTGGATTCTCACATGGCTAACCGGGGTTCAAGTTCCAGACCTGGCGTCTTGCTTTTTCCCTTTCCCTTTCTCTCTCTCTCTCTCTGGTCAAATTAAAATAATAATAATAATAGGGACCAGCAGATGGCATAATGGTTACATTGCTGGACTCCCACATAGTTTGAATTCCAGACCTAATGGCTTAAAAACTCATACTGGGCATGTGTGCATGCATGCCCAAGATCCCGAGAAGAGAATGGAGGAGAAGGGATTGCAGCATGGCTATCCTGGGGGCAGGGGGGTGATTTCTCACCTTCTGTGTCTGTCTGTCTCTGCCTCTCTGGCAAGTACAAGTGTCCTAAAGCAAAAATCTCTCAACATAATAACAAATAGAATTAAATAAATAAATAACTTTTGGGGGGGGAGAGGTTTTTTTGTTTTTTTGTTTTTGGTTTTTTTTTTTTTTTTTTTTTGTTTTTTTTTTTTGCTGCAGACAGAGACAGAGAGACAGAAAGCGAGAAATCACCACCCAGGGGGATGGCCACACCGTAATCACTTCTCCATTCTCCTCTCGGGATCCTGGGGGTGCACGCACACACGTCCAGCGTGAGTTCAAGCCACCGGGTCCGGGACACGAACTGCAGTCGACTATGTGGGAGTCCAGTGACGTAGCCATTATGCTAACTGCTGGTCCCAAGAAAAGAAAACTTTGTGTTTTTAAGTGAACAAGCCAAAGCCTTAGCATCATCTTGTTTGTTTTTTTTTTTAATTTCCTTTTTATACCTAAAATCAGTAAATCCTGTCAGCTGCAGTTTCAGAGTATGTGTAGACTCTGATTAGTTCTCATCACCTCCCCACCCACCACACACGTCAGCCACCCTCCATCATCCTGTGCTTGTATTGCTGTAGTATCCTCAGCGGTCTTCCTGCTTCCCCTCCTTGTCCTCTGTAGTCCATTTCCCATGAATGGCCCTTTCAAATGTATTAGGTCATCAGAAAAGTCATGACACGTTTTTGAATAGAAAAACAGAAAAATACATTGATTTTTCCGAAGACTCAATAGATGAGGTTATACCATTCTTTAGCTTACAAAGTTTGAGCACCTTTCTGTCTTACTCCACACCTAAAACCAAAGTTGTTTTTTTTTTTTCTGGAGAGGTTCACTATAGGGCATGTGCGCTCGCCAGAAAGACAGAGAGACAGAAAGCGAGAAATCACCCCCTAGGGGGGATGGCCATGCTGCAACCCCTTCTCCTCCATTCTCCTCTCAGGATCTTGGGCACGCACGCATACGCTCCCGGCATGAGCTTAAGCCACCGGGTCCGGAACGCAAACCGCAGTCGACTACATGGGAGTCCAGCGACATAGCCATTACACTAACTGCTGGTCCCAAAACCAAAGTTCTTAACAGTGGCCTCTAAGCCCGACGTGATCTAGCATCCACCCCTTTTTCTGGGTGATCCTCTGACCCTCTTCTTCTTGCACGCTCCATTCTGGCCACTCTGTTTTTTCTCTTTGTTGATCAAGCAAAGACTATTCCTGCCTTGAGGCCTTCACAGTTGCTGTTCCCTGTACTGGAATGTGCTTCCCCTAGATATCTGCATTGCTTATCCAGTCAGGCTCTGCTTACAAGTCACCTCAGTGAAACGCCTTCTTAGACCACTCCTTTATCTCCCCAAAGCTCCCTATCCTCTTCTCCATAGCGTTTTTGGCACTTGACATAGGATCAGGAATATCATTACCAGTATTTCTGTTTTTGCTGTCTCCATAGGAATGTGAGACCCACTGAAACAGGGACTTGATTTATTATCTTCCTCACATCTAGAGCTGTGCTGGTTAAGGTAAGAGCTCAGTAAGTATGAAAGAATTATTGACTCCTCCTTCTCTGCCTTTTATTTTACCTCATCTATCCCTTGGATTCATTTCTTCTCCTCCTTCCCATTGGCACTGTCCTGAGTTCCAACCCTCTTTGTTTGCTTGGAGAAGTATAAGCACCTCCGTTTGTCTTCCTTACCCCGATTTTACTCCTCTGCAGTAAAATAATCCGGTCATGTTATCCTGTTACTTGCCTCTCTAACTTAGTCCGTTTCTTCCATTTCATTAATGGGTGAAAACCTAACTTCTGCCCGTTCAGCTAGTATTTATCAGTCACCTGTATCCTCCACACACTGCAGCCAGTGCAGTGATGATGAGACCCATTGACCTTGCCCTCATGGCTATTTTCATGGATTTGCCTGTAAAACTGTTCTGTGTTTTTGGCCCGATTATGTTACCTCATCCTTGAGGGGTAAAGTGTGTGCGTCTGAGTTAGGATCCTCTGTGCTGCAATTTGGAGCAGGTGGGAGCCGCCTAGGTCCCATCTCAGGTTTAGATTAGCATCAGGAAGATAGAGGGTTATCTTGGCTGGAATCCCTCACGCTGGGGCGCTTGGCTTCTGTCAGTGCTAGAGCACCTCTGCCGTGACACCACCTTGCTGCTTCTGTGTTCTCTCGTGTTTAGTGAAGAACTAAGTTTTGTTACTTCTGGAGTTTTTTGTGTTTGTGTTTTGTTCTGTTTTTTACTTTTTTTTTTTCTTTTGAGAGAGGTTTTTGCTTTAGGGTATGTGTGCTCACCAGAAAGACAGAGAGAGAGACAGAGAGACAGAAAGTGAGAAATCCCCCCCCCCGGGGGGGAGGAGATGGCCACGCCACAATCCCTTCTCCTCCATTCTCCTCTCAGGATCTTGGGCATGCACGCACATGCGCCCAGCTGAGTTTAAGGCACCGGGTCTGGGACTTGAACAGCAGTCAACTACATGGGAGTCCAGCGACATAGCCATTACGCCAACTGCTGGTCCCTGTTCTTTAATTATTTGTTTTATTATTATTTCAATTTCTTTTATACATTTAATCACATTACTTAACTTACAAAGTGAAAATTCCAGCACGTGTACATTTCGCACGGGTCCAGTTGGCAATACTATAAGGTATAGATAATAATCCATTTCTTTGTACCATAAATGCCTTGCCTCTCTATTTTTCTTTTTAATGTCCTTCCTCAGACTCTACTCATTCACCCTCCCTCTTCCCACACACTTCTGAAGTTTTTAATGTTAGCCTATATGTTGTGGCTCAAGAGAAGGGCAAGGGGAAGCAGGGCAAGGAGAATGAAAGTACAATTATTTTAAACTCATCTCTTTGAGAGTTCTTAGGAGACCTCAGTTTATCAGAAATTTGCCATCTCTGGGACCAGCAGTTTGCATAATGGCTATGTCACTGGACTCCCACGTAGTCAACCGCGGTTCAAGTCCCAGACCCGGTGGCTTAAACTCACGCCAGGCGCATGCGTGTGCATGCCCAAGATCCCACGAGAATGGAGGAGAAGGGATTGTGGTGTGTGCGGTGTGGCCATCCCCCCTGGGGGGTGATTTCTCACTTTGTGTCGCTCTGTCTCTGTCGGGCTGGCGAGTGCACGCGCCCTATAGCATAAACCTCTCCAAAAAAAAAGAAATTTGCCGTCTCTCCCTTTATTCTGCTTTTTCAGGACTCTACACTTGTTCAAGAGAAGAATTGAGGGAAATTGGAGCAGGTCAGATAGTTCTAAAAACAATGGCCCAGGTGAGTAGAAATTTCTTCTGTTCTTAGAATAATCCGTTTTCCCCTCCTAATCATATAAATATGTGTGTTCTTTTTTTAGGAGGGTGGTTTTTTTGCATGTGTGTTTTTTGTTTGTTTTTGTTGTTGTTATTACAGGGCATGTGTGCTCACTAGAGAGACAGAGAGAAACATAAAGACTGAAGCGAGAAATCACCCCCAGGGAGATGGCTATGCCACAGTCTCTTCTCTAGTCTCCTCTCAGAATTTTGGGCACGCACGCACAGGCGTGAGTTTCAAGCCACCAGGTCCGGGATTCGAACCACGGTCAACTACATGGGAGTCCAGGAATGTAACCATTACGCCATCTGCTGGTCCCACATTTGTGTTCTTTATCCTGAAACTTCTCTGTAACCTGCTGACGGTAACTCTATCCCAAGAGGTAAGTGATGGTGCCCCACTTTCTTTAGTGGCTCTGTCTTCTCCAACATTGCTTACATAAGTATGTAACATTCTTGCCAAAGTACCAGTGGAGCAGAGGTATATTCTCTTGAGATAAATATATGGGACCCTCCATTTCATAACCATGACTGAATTGGGCCAAAGATGAAATGGTTTAATCATTTGGTCAATATGGTCTCTTTCCTTTTTTTTTAAAGAAAGAGATTTTTCAAAAATTATTGTTAATTTTATTTATTCATTTACTTATTTTATTTTGACCAGAGAGAGACACACAGAGAGAGAGAAGGTGAGAAAGCAAGCCACCAGGTCCAGGACTTGAACCATGGTTGGCCATGTGGGAATGTCCAACGCCTTAACCACACACCACCTGCTGGTCCCCAAGATTTTTACTATAGAGCATGTGCATTCACTAGAGAGAAGAGAGACAGAAAGCAAGAAATCACCCCCCATGGGTTACGGCCAAGCTGCAGTCTCTTCTCTTCCATTCTTCTCTCTGGATTTTGGGCACATATGTACACGTGCCTGGTGTGATTTTAAGCTGCCAGGTCTGGGACTTGAACCACAGTTGACTACTTGGGAGTCCAGCAATATAACCATTATACTATCTGCCAGTCTCCCGTTTCTTCTATTTTTAAATGTCATTCCACTTGAAACAAATTTTAAAAAATAAAGCGAATACTATCAAAGGATACATACACAACCAGCAGGTGACATGATGGTTAAGGTTCTGGATTCCCACATGGCCAGTCATGGTTCAAGTCCCAGACCTGGCAACTTGAAAATCATGCCAGGATGGAGACCAGCAGATGGTGTGGTGGGTAAGGCACTGGACACTTCCACGTGGCCGACCCTAGTTCGAATCCCGGATCTAGTGGCTTGCTTTCTCACTGTCCCCACCCATCTCTCTCTGATCAAATTTTTAAAAAAAAGAATGAATAAATAAAATTAAATAAATAATTATTAAGAAAAAAAATAAAAGAAAGAAAATCATGCTGGGTATATGTGCATGGATGCCCAAAATCCCATCAAGAAAATGGAGGAATAGGGATTGTGACATGACTATCCCCCCTGAGGATGATTTCTCACTTTCCCTCTCACTATCTGTCTACCCAACGAGCATATTCACCCTATGACAAAAACCTTAAAAAAAAAAAATGAATACATGCAGAGCCAGACCATGGTGTTGTGATTAAGGTAACCAGATCCCACGTGCTCAGCTGTGTGATTTGAATCCTGGACCCAGCTTGAGATACATGCCAGGTTCATGTGCATGCATGCTCAAAATCTCAAGAGAAGAATGGAAGAAAAGGATTGTGACGTGGCCATCCCCCTGGGGGCGTGCTTTCTCTTTCTCTCCTTCTCTCTCTTTCTCTCTCTCTTGCAAGCACAGTCACTCCACGGCAAATTTAGGTGGCATAAAGAATTGGGCCCAGCTGGGATCAGCAGATGGCATAATGGTTACGTCACTGGACTTCCACCTCGTTGAGGTGCATGTGCTGTGCATTGTGCCCAAAACCCTGAGAGAAGTATGGAGAGGAAATTGCAGCATGGCCATTCCCCTTGAGGGGTGATTTCTCACTTTCTGGCTCTCTCTGTCTCACTCTGCCTCTCCAACAAGTGCATGCACCCTATAGCAAAAATCTCTCTCTTAAAAAAAAAAGAATTGGAGCCACCAAGTGTCATGGTGGTTAAGGCCATTGGACTCTCACATGGCCAGCTGCAGTTCAAGTCCTAGATCTGGTGGCTAGAAACTCTTGCTGGGTGCATGTGCATGTATGCCCAAAATCCCAGGAGGAGAAGGGATTGTGGTGTGGCCATCCCCCCTAGGGAGTGACGTCTCACTTTCCTGTCATTGTCTCTCTCTGTCTCTCCGGCAAGTGCACATGCCCTATGGCAAAAAGAAAAGAAAAGAAAAACTTTATAAAACCAAAATGAGGGGCCAGAAGGTGGCATGGTGGTTAAAGGCACTGGACTCCCACGTGGCTGACCACGGTTCAAGTCCTGGACCTGGCGGCTTGCTTTCTCACTTTCTCTCTCTCTCTCTCTGTCCCTCTCGGGTCAAATTAAAAATAAATAAATAAGTAAATAAAGTTAAATAAAATAATTTTTAAAAAAGAATAATGAAGTAAGTACTGATGTATTTATCACTCAGATTATACACCATCTAAGCAACCTACGTTCCCTTCCCTGATCCTGTTTCTTGCATCTATCTCCATCACCATTTTCACCAATGGGTTAGTACTTTTAATTTTGTGTTTATTGGTCCTTTATTTTTATAATAACTTTACTGTAAATAACTGTATACTAAACAATATGCTTTTGGGTTTTCTGATTTCAAATTTGTGTTCAGGTGAAAGTAAGAGTCAAACATCTCTTGGGCCAGCCAGTGGCATGGTGGTTACGGCATGTGGATCCCATGTGGCCAACCATGTGGTTCAAGTCCCAGACCCAGCAACTTTAGAAACATGCAGGACACATGTGTATGTGTGCCCAAAAGGAGAGTGGAGGAGAAGAGATTACAATGTGACCATCCCCTGTGGGGGATACTTTCTCACTTTTCCTCTCTCTGTCTCTCTCCAATGAGTTACATGTGCCCTCTAGTACAAAAAAAAAAAAAAAAAAAAAGTCACATCTCTCTGTAAATTAAAATCTAGCAGTGATTGGGGCCAGCAGGTGGTCTGGAGGTCTTGAGGGCATGGACTCCCACCTGGCTGACCATGGTTTGAGTCCCAGACCTGGTGGCTTGCTTTCTCACTCTCTCTCTCTCTCTCTCTCTCTTGCTTTCCCATGCCCTGTTCGCCTAAAAATAAATTAATTAATTAAATTTTTTTTTGGAGAGATTTTTACTATAGGGTGCGTGCACTCACCAGAAAGACAGAGAGAGACAGAAAGCAAGAAATCACCCCCCCAGGGGGGATGACCATACCACAATCCCTTCTCCTCCATTCTCCTCTCAGGATCTTGGGCACGCACACACACACGCCTAGTGTGAGTTTAAGCCACCGAGTCCGGGACTCAAACTGTGGTCAACTACTTGGGAGTCCAGCGACATAGCCATTACGCTAACTGCTGATCCCCATCAAATTTTCTTAAGCCAAAGTCTAACCTAGACCAAAACCCCTAATTCTCTTTCAATTCTGTGAAGTTTGAAAGAGATGAAGAAGCTGCAGAAGAAAAACTTGAAACTAACAGAGGTAGGTTCATGAGGTTTAAGGAAAGGAGCCATCTATAACATAGAGGTGCAAGGTGAAACAGCAAGTGCCGTGTAGAAGCTGCAGCAAGTGACCAGAAACTCTAGCAGAGATAATTAGTGAAGGTGTCTACACTAAACAACAGCTTTTTCAATGTAGATAAGACAGCCTTATGTTGGAAGAAGATTCTACCTATGACTTTCAGTGTAAAGTCTAGCTGGAGCCAGCAGGTGGCATGGTAGTTGAGGTGCCGGATTCCCACATGGGTGACTGTGGTTTGAGTCCTGTATCTGGAGGCTTGAAAATCACAACTCATACACAGATAAATGAATGAATAAATGTTTAAAATAAATAAGTCTCTAACCGAACAGAAGAAATCAATGTTTGGCCTCAAAGCTTCAAAGGTCAGGCTAACTTTCTTGTTAGAAGCTAATACCACCAGCAACTTTAACTTGAAGCCAATATTCATTCACCATTCTGAAAATCATAGGGTCCTTTAAAATTATGCTAAATTTGAGGTCAACTGGTGGCATGATGGTTAAGGTGCTGAACACCCACATGGCTGACAGCAGTTTGAGTCCCATACCCACTGTCTTGAAACTCATGCCAGGTGTGTGTGTGCATGCCCAAAAGCCTAAGAAGAGAGTGGAGGAGAAGGGATTATGGCAATGGCCATTCCCCCTGGAGGGGGTGATTTCTCACATTCCCTTTCTGTCTGTCTCTGTCTCTTCTCCTGCGAGCACACACACTCGATAGCAAAAACCTAAAAAATAAAATTATGTTAAATTTACCCTGCCTGTGCTCCATAAATAGAACAATATGGCCTGGATAAACAGCACATTTGTTTACAGCATGGTTTACAGAATATTTTAAGCCAACTGTGAAGACCTACTGCTCAGAAAAAAAAGATTTCCTTTCACAGTATCACTGCTCATTGGCAATGCACCCAGGCACCCACAAGTTCTGATAGAGATGTACAAGGACATTAATGTTTTCATGCCTGCCAATACAACATCCGTTCTGCAGCCCATGGATCAAGGAGTAATGTCAACCTTCAAATGCTATTATATTTAAGACGTTTATATCTAAGGCAATTTCTGCCATAGATTCCTCTGGTGGACTTGGGAAAAGTAAGTTGAAAACCTTCTGGAAAGGATTCACTGATCTAGATGCCATTAGAACATTTGTGAGGGGGCCCGGCAGGTGGCGTGATGGTTAAGGTGTTGGACACCCACATAGCTGACCTTGGTTCAGGTGCTGGACCTGGCAGCTTGCTTTCTCACTTTCTCTTCCTCTCTCTTTCTCTCTGGTCAAATTAAAAATAAATAAATAAATAAATAAAATAATAAATAAAATTAAATGAATAAAAAATTATGGAAAAAAAAAGAGAACACTATGAGGGGCCAGGAGGTGGTATAGTGGTTAAGGTACAGGACTCCCACATGGCTGATCACAGTTTGAGTCCTGGACATGGAAGCTTGAGAATCACACTGTGTGCATGTACATGTGTGCCCAAAATCCCAAGAGAAGAATAGAGGAGAAGGGATTGCAGCATAGCCATCCCCTCTGGAGAGTGATTTCTCACTTTCCCTCTCATTGCCTCTCTATCAACATTCATGAGAGTCTGGAGGAAGGTGATTCCAGCGCTCATGGATGACTGTCAACACCTCAGTTGAGGAAATAAATACAGATGTGGAAAATAGCAAGAGAACTAGACTTAGAATTGGAGCCTGAGGTGTCCAGCAGATGGTGTGCTGGTTAGGGCACTAGACTCCCACATGGCCAACTGTGGTTCAAGTCTTAGACATGGCAGCTTTGTTTTTCTCACTTTCCCTTTCTCTCTCTCTGGTAAAATTTTTAAAAATTAATAATGATAAATAGGGGCCAGCAGGTGGCATGGTGGTTAAGGTACTGGACTCCCACATGGCTGACCATGGTTTGAGTCTTGGACCTGGCAGCTTGCTCTCTCACTTTCCCTCTCCTCTCATCAAATTAAAGAATAATAATAAGGGGCTGGCAGGTGGCATGGTGGTTAAGGACGCTGGACTCCAGCTGTTCAAGTCCTTGGCCTGGTGGCTTGCTTTCTCACTTTTCTGCTCCCTCACTCTCTCTCACTCTGTCCCTCTCTGGTCAAATTAGAATAACTAAAGTTAAATTATTTAATTATTTTTTTTAAAAAATAAAATAACAAAATTAAATAAACAATTTTTTAAAAGTAGCTGACATTAGTTGAGGCACTGGACTCCCATATGGCCAACCATGGTTCAATACCCAGACCCAGCGGCTTGAAACTCATGCCAAGTGTTTGTGCGTCTGTACCCAAAATCCCAAGAGGAGACTGCAGGAGAGGGGATTGTGGCAGTGGCCATTCCCCCTGGAGGGTGATTTCTCACTTTCTGTCTCTCTGACGAGCACACACACCATATTGCAAAAATAAAATAAAATAATTGGGCCTGAAGACATGACTAAATTCCTACAATCTCATGATAAAACTTTAATGGATAAGGAGTTATTTTATTCGTTTATTTTTTTGGAGAGGTTTTTGCTATAGGGCACATGCGTTTGCAAGACAGAGAGAGACAGAGAGACAGAAAGCGAAAAATCACCCCCCAGGGGAGATGGCCATGCCACAATCCCTTCTCCATTCTCCTCTCGAAATCTTGGACACATGCACACGTGCCCAGCATGAGTTTAAACCACCAGGTCCCGGACTCAAACTGCGGTTGATTACATGGGAGTCCAGTGACATAGCCATTAAACCAACTGCTGGTCCCAGGAGTTGCTTTGTATAAACACCAGGCCCAGGACCTGAACTGCGGTCTACCATGTGGAAGTCCAATGCCCCAACCACTGTGCTACCTGCTGGTCCCAAAAGTGATTTTTTTTTTTTTTGGAGAGGTTTTTTGTTTTTTTTCTTTTTGCCATAGGGCGCGTGTGCTCGCCAGACAGAGACAGAAAGCGAGACAGAGACAGACAGACAGAAAGCAAGACAGAGACAGACAGACAGAAAGGGATATCCCCCCGGGGGATGACCACGCCGCAATCCCTTCTCCTCCATTCTCCTCTTAGGATCTTGGGCACGCATGTACACACACCCAGCGTGAGTTTTAAGCCACTGGGTCCGGGACGCGAACCACGGTCGACTACATGGGAGTCCAGTAACATAGTCAATATGCTAACTGCTGGTCCCCCAAAATTGATTTCTTAAGATGGAATCCTCTTGCGACCAGCAGGTGGCATGAGGGCTAAAGCACTGAACTCTCACATGGCCAACTGCAGTTCAAATCCCAGACCGAGAACCTGAAAATCATGCCAGGCTCATGTCTGTACATGTCCAGAATCCCAGCAAGAGAATGGAAAGGGATTGCAGTGTGCCCATCCCCCCTTGGGGGGTGAGTTCTCACTTACCCTCTCACTGTTGCACATGTGCCATGGCAACAATATTAATAAAGGGGAGGGAGACATGGTGGTGCCCACTCTATGACAAAACTACTGGAGGCTGGAGGATTGCAGCATCAAGTTCATCTCTCTCTCTCTCTCTCTCTCAATCTGTCTCTCTCAACACACACTTTAAAAAAAGAAAAGATGGAATCCACTCATGGTGAAATTACTGTGAATTATGCAGAGTTGGTTATTTCCGTTGACACACATAAAGAGCACATAAACTATACCATATAGCCTAGGTGTATAATAGGTTATATAATCTAGGTTTGTGTAAGTGTCCTCTGTGATGTCCACATAGTGACAAAATCACTTAATGATGCATTTCTTAGAATGTAGCCCTATTTTTTTCTTTTTTTGGAGAGGTTTTTGCTATAGGGCGCATGCGCTTGACAGAGAGACAGAAAGCAAGTAATCACCCCAGGGGCATGGTCACACCGCAATCTCTTCTCCTCCATTCTCCTCTGTGAATCTTGGGCATGCATGCACATGTGCCCAGCGTGAGTTTAAGCCAACGGGTCCAGGACTTGAACCTCAGTCGACTACATGGGAGTCCAGCAATGTAGCCATTACGCCATCTGCTGGTCCCAAAATGTAGCCCT